AAATATTAAGAGAGACTACAGAAAATGTTGCAATATGTACAAATTATTTGTGCAAGTACTCTTTTTGTACAGCAAATACTTTTGACTGACTACAGAGAAGTAGACTCCTGATCACTTACAACAAATACATGGAATTTACCATACAAGTTTCAGGAATATTTTAGTATTTTATCTGATAATGCTGCCACAGTCATTCTACGAACTTGGGTTAGGTTACTAATATTTTTAAATTAATCCTTCAGGATGATTTTTCTGTGGTGGTATCTGAGTGTGGCTATTGCATTGTCTTTATTTAAAGTTCTAATGAAAATAGCTGAGGGCTTCTGGAAAGGAAACAAGGGGAAACAACTCACATTTTTGCTCGCTTTAGAAAAGAATGAGAAAATATCCATTGCAGCGATTTCATTTAGGATCTCTAATAACTTCTTGCTCTGCTTTAAGAAGAGTGAAAATGATTTCTAGCAAAGTGTATCTGGTCTCCTCCATCAGTGGCTGTGCGGTATGGGAACAACGGCATCTTATGCACCTGTCAAAGGGGAGGTCTGGGTTGTAGGGCTGCAGGTGCAAACCTAGTTACTCAGAGTTGTGGTAGGAAGGAGACGATCAGTCTGGTTCCATTTGAGAGACAAAGAAGAGGTTTGGATTTTTTTTTTTTTCTTAGTAGTCAGAACTTCTGTTGAAAGATTGGTAATGGTTGCAAATGTAGGTGCAAAGGAGTTAAGAAAAAAATCCCAGAATTTAGGTTGATCGTGTGAACTTTGTTATATTCATAGGTATTATGACAGTGTCATTACTAATATGATGCCTCATAATATTTTTCTGGGATTTTTGTCATTTAGACATATAGGGAACTACGCTGCATCAGGACAACACCAATGTCCTGTGACTATGCCTGTTGTCTGCACAGCCCTGACTTTATTAATTCCCAAACGTGGAAGGTGCTTGGTGCAGGCTGTCAGGTGGCTGCGAGGCTGAATGCCATCTTTGAATTACCTCCCTGCCTCTGCCACCAGAGCTGCTATGAAATGTCGACCAAATCACATAAACTGACACAGTCTCATTTAGTCACTAATCGTGTGTTACTAATTTTCTTAATACCCAAACTAAGGCACCTGTGACCAGACTCAAAGCTGTATAGTGTTCACCACTGCAGTAGGATATAATGGGAACAGTGCTTTATGTGTGTGCAATAAAACTGTTAAGTATACTTGACATTGAGAGTTGTCAAGATAGGCACCCAGAATTAGTCTTGGTCTCTCTTTGTTCTCTGACTTCTTACATGAAAATAATAGCATAACCTAATCTTGCAACGGTTGTGAAAAAGAGCTTCACTAATATTTGCAGGGCAGTAGGTGCCATTGCAGTGAGTGATGAATTATGCACCTAAGCTAGAAACCTATTTATCTTTTGTAGGAGAACACATACTACTTTTATTTATATTTAAGTCTGACCCTGCAGAAGATTTTCTGTTCTTTTTCTTATTCAAATTAATTTAACATTGAATTCTTAGTATAGTTATCAAACAGCCTGTGGGAAAGTATATCATAATTACGCATTATTGTTCAGTCCAACATAGTTACAAAGTAACACAACCTATCTGCCTTTTGAATGAAAGCAGTAAAAAAACAAAAAAAATATGCTAAACAAATCTCATGTCTTAATCTTCATTCTGTTTTATTTACTTAAGCTCCGCTTTGGAGCAGTATCTGAAAACTTTATTACTTAACACTCAGAATGTTCGTATAAGCTAAGGAGGTAATATAATCCCCATTTTATGGACTTGGAGGTAAAGCATGGTCAAGATAAGCCCATGCACATTAAAGGACATCAGTGTGTGAAAGTTAGGGACTTCAGTTTCAAGCTTATAGGTGCCAGCCTTTGGACTGAACTCTGGACCAAGCTCCTTATATCGTGAATGACACCTGAGAAGGTGTCATCCAAAACAGCCAGCCAGATAGGCAGAGTGTCACAGACCATCCCCTGCGGTAGCCCTCTGCTAACCAAGAGGGAATTTGCTGAGGCCAGAAGTAAGCCTGCAATGGTGCCTCTAAGGTTCCTCCATACATTTCACGTTCAGCATTTGAAGTACACATGCATTGCCTCTGTACTTAAAAGATGCATGCGTTTCACGTTCAGCATTTGAAGATGGCTGGCATGCTTCAGCCATGCCTGTTGCCTCAAAGCCCCTGAGAGACCTGGGCAAAGGCAAGGGTAATTTGTGAACTGTGTTCCAGCTTAGGGGTGACCTCGGTGTGAGCCATGCAGCCCTGGCAGTCCAGAACTGTTGTAGGCAGGCAGAGAGGCACCCAGGGAAACTTTACAGGCAAAATAAAACTATATTCAGCGTTAGGCAGGTGGCAAATGAAAGTTTGCAGCATTGCGGTTTTTGAGCTTTGGTACCTGGGCTCCATCTCAGACACCATTAAATACCTTTTCTGCATTTGCCAAAAGACACACGTTGTAATGCAGTAAGTTGAACCTTGATTTTTCCTGTGTATACCTATTTTTTTCTTCCCTTCTGTTGTCCTATTCCTTATTATGGACACATTTGGCCACTGTCAAATTGAATGATTTTTTGCATACTTGGTTGGCTGACTCTTTTTTTCCTAATTTGCTGATACAGTCAACTGTGCCAGTAAAGCAATTATGCAAAATTGTGTATAAAGGTTTAATGATACAAAACAGTGTTCATCACAAATCTAATTGTGATTCTTGCCATCCTTCCATAAACTAAAGGTTTTGAGACGTTTGAATTAGGATCTCTGTGGTTAATATCTATTTTATTAAAAAATATATTTAGTTTAACAGAGAAGGGAACATTTAATGTACATGTCACTGTTAACTTTGGAAGGAAGCAATAAACAAAAATAGTGACTTGGAAGTGCTCAGATAATGGTTTATATGCTGTCAGGTGGTGATTATGAGAAGTCTGCCTTATTACATGTCTCATTAGGTTACAGTGTTATCTGTTTTACATTACAAATGATAACTATGTATGGTTGATTGCTGTCGTGGTTTAACCCGGCAGGCAGTTAAACACCACACAGCCGCTCGCTCACTCCCCCTCAGTGGGATGGGGAAGAGAATCGGGGAAAAAAGGTAAAACTTGTGAGTTGAGATAAAGACAATTTAACAGGACAGAAAAGGGTGGGAAAATAATAATAATAATTATAAAAGAGTATACAAAACAAGTGATGCACAATGCAATTGCTCACCACCCACTGGCAGATCCCCAGCCAGTTCCCGAGCAGTGGCCGCACCCCCCCCAGCCAACTCTCCCCAGTTTTTTGTTCAGCATGACGTCATATGCTATGGAATATCCCTTTGGCCAGCTTGGGTCAGCTGTCCTGGCTGTGCCCCCTCTGAGCTTCTTGTGCCCCCCCCAGCCTCCTTGCTGGCAGGGCAGTATGAGAAGCTGAAAAATCTTTGACTTAGCGTAAGCACTGCTCAACAAGAACTGAAACATAAGTTTGTTACCAGCATTATTTTCATCTGAATCCAAAACACAGCACTATACCAGCTGCTAGGAAGAAAATTATCCCAGCTGAAACCAGGACAATTTTGCACTGAGTCTAATACAACACAAAGATTAAAAATATAAAGATGGGCATAGTAACAAAGCAAAATAATGTGTCTGAATACTGAAAACAAAGAGATAGTGGGTTAAAACAGAACTGACAGGTACAGTGTACTGAGGTTTGATATCTGGTTTCCACTTGGGTAACTGAACTGGTTCAGGAAGAGTAGTAAAGCAATACTTAGTAGTGCTTTCACTGAAGCCGAAAATCCCATTGGCTTTTCTTGGTCCAGAATAGAGCATTTAGAAACATTTCAAAATTGATACTTCTGCTTCATGTTTGTGTTGATATTTTCTGATTTCTGCCCTGCTGCTTTCCTCGGAACCCTGGCTGGGATTTAATCCTACCAACAGAAAGTATTAGCAAGTCAGATATTATTATTAGGACTGACATTTAGTAGAGTCTCGTTTGTATCAGGTCATTATGTACTTCAGGGAGAGACCTTCTGCCACAGCCACTAGAGACAAAGCACACACTGCTTCCCCTTGGCTACGTCCATCAGACTGCGTATGAGGAGGGAGAGCGACAAGTGTCTCTCCTTTCTATCCCTTTCTGGGTTAACAGTTCTCATTAGCTGTATGTCGTCTTTGCACTACGGAAATGTTAAGGACCGTTAAGGACAGGGAATAATGAATAACCTGGTCGTGCTTTCCGCTGCCTCGTTGATGGGGAGGGAAGCTGGTCACACTTGGGTGCTGAATTATGAAGGTGAGTTCTGTTCACTTGGGTGCTCCATGTAGTCAGACGTGTGAGCTGTTTTGTACTGAACACAGCAGTCTGTGGCTTGTATAAACAGCTTTAACTTACGACTTTCTGAAAACAGAGGCCTGAAGCAGTCATGGAGGTTTCAGGAATGTTAATTGTTTGTGTACATGAATGAGCTTATAAATGGTTGTTTTTGCAGTGTTCCATACCTCATCGAGGGTAACTGTGTCACTGCCAGAGAAAAGAAAAGAGAACGATTTTTTTTTTTTTTTTCTCCACAGTCTACTAATACTTTCAGGGCTTGATATAATGTGCCTTTAACAAACCGTGAACTTCTCTCCTACTGAGCCACTGCATCCTGCCTACATTCAGTGTAGGCAGAGAACCATTATACTAATCCACTCTCCCATCATATCTCTAGCAAACACATGCAAGTGTTTTTCTTTGAATATTTATTTTGATGCAAGGAGTGTTAAGTCTTTTATTTGGCAACACAAACAAGTAGGAGATTGTGACTTCTCAACTTTGTAACCTTAATTGTGGAAGTTCTGGTTTTCAGCTATGACGTATTTTGACAAACGTACAACAGTCACATTTGGCTTTAAGAGAATTATCCTGCCACCTCACAACAACCTTAGAATAGTTCACCTCTACAGGTAGGATAGCTTTAAAATGTAGATGATGAAATGATCAGTCTTTCACTTTGTTTATTAACAGGTACGGTTATATGCAAGGCCTGATGCAATCCGAAGAGGATCGGGGGACTATGCTCTAAATATTACAAGGAGACTCATTGAATTTTATGAAGATTATTTTAAAGTGCCCTATTCCCTGCCAAAATTAGGTAAGATTTTCCCTAGCACATGAAGTTCACCCAGAAATGGGCGATTAATTCAGCTTTTTTAAAGGAAATTTAAGACTGGAGTGTACTAGATTTCAAGGTAAGATATGTTCAAGTTAAGAAGGAATGTTTGTTTAGAAGGATCAATAAGTAAGGAATTTTTCATCTCTTTCTTGCAGAGGAAGGGAAGTCCAATTGTCCCCTTTCCAGCCTTGCACTGAAAGCAGCAGGAAGCAGACAGTACTTAAATTTGTTAGGCAGTGGCAGTCTAGGAAAAGAACTTGAGATCTTTCACTGATAAGTGGGTTGGGTTTTTTGGATGCTGTTTATTTTGGTCCTTACTTTCATTAGATAGCCACTGGGAGATGTTTGTTCTGTAATATTTGTATCTTGATGCCTCAGCCTTAGATGGGGAACAAAATAGAAAATATTTGTGGAAACTGGGAACCTGTAACAGTGCAAGGCAGTATTTTTTTTATGCTGGCTTATGTGGCTTATTAGTGATGATTAGTACATATGCTTAATTGAATTGTTGCTTATTGAAAGAATTGCTGTGAACTTGTTTTGCTGCTCAAGTGACCTAAATGTAAAAGCTGTCAATTTCTGTTATTTTTTAAATAGTTTCTTCTCCTCCTCCCTTTCACCACAATCAATTGTTCTCCTACACACTTGAATACTTTACACCATATTATTACACCCTCCCTCTTTAGAGCATGTTTGATCAAGATCCAGAAAAGCCTATTGCTCAGCAGCAGGAAGAGAGCTTGTATTTGATCAGAAGTGTTAGAGTTGGAACCACAGGTGATCCTCCCAGGAACTCAGGGTATATTTCATTAAATCCCTTGCCTACTGAGTAGCTTTATTAGTCTTACAGCTAATGGTGTAGGACATAGATAAAGTAACTGATGTTGCTAGATGAGGGTCTTCCATGAATTTTTTATAAGAATGTTGTGGCATTTGTTTCTTGTCATCTTTAAATGATGGGTTACAGGCAGTGTTCTCTTGGAGAAATATGCAGATGGGTTAAAAATGGCACATGCATCAGACATTGTGTGTGTCCTTTTATACCTGGCTTCAGGTATGTAACGATGATTTCATAAAGGAAGTTATAGACTTGCCGGTGCCAAAATTTTAGAAGGAAAAAAATAATAAAAAACTTTCAAGTGAATATAAAGGACGAACAGTGGGACTCCAATCATTACTTCAGGTAGTTTACTGAGGATGCCAGGTAGCAGCAGGCAGTAGCGACTGTATCTGCTTCAGAATATCTTTCACAATTGCAACATACGGTCTTTCAACTCAACGTGCTGTATGCGTTATCATTATGCTGTGGCATATCTTTTGAAAATACCTCATTGGAAATAAATATGTCCCAGTTTGGATCTCTTTGGAATAGAACAGGAGGAATAGTCACAAGTAAAATTGTATTTTTTCGTCAAGTATTTGTAGTAAAATTGTTGAGTTAATATGAAAAACAGCTTGAAAATTTTAGTTATGCTGTAATGACACTATAGGAAATAGTTTGCAAAGTTTGTTATGCTATAATAACGTTAAATTTATTTAATGTAAATATAAGGAAAACTTCAAAACTCTCTATGATGTAAATATTTTTGAAAATTTGATTTGCATATGAACATAGGCATGTTTCTTTCCAGTTCAGCGGAACACTAAGATCACTACTTTTAAACATGTGCTAGTGTCTTTAACCTGAATATTTCTTTTTACTGGAAAATAGAAAGTTAGGGACAATAGTCTGATGGGTGAATAGAAAGAATCAAAATGAAAACACTGTACTCTTTCTATGCTAGTGATTTTGCAGTAGTTTTAAAGAATTTTCTGAGGGAAGAGGCAAAACAGCATTAGCTACAGCAGTGAAAGGAGTGTGCATCAGGAGGATGCGTTGATACAGAAAACACGCCTGTGCTCTCTGAAACCTCGGGACTATCACCTGAGACACTGCTGCCACCACTGCAAAGGATTGCGTACTTCCTTAAGGTTTTAAGATAAATCAGAATTTTCTGTGTGGGACATTTTAGGAGTTTTTCATTTTATTTATAAATGAAATGTGAAATGCCTTCAAGTGGGAGTAAAAATTGAAGAACGTAGTTTAAAAAGCTTTTAAATGACAGTGTCAGTTTTGTAGAAAATGTTCTATTTCAAACGTAGATGTTTTAAAAAATGAAAAATTTTGGTTCATATATTGTCTAGTTCTAACAAAAATGTAATTACTTTGGTTGAAAATACACTTTATTTTTTCAAAAGAATTCTGTTGTTGAAATACTGACCAACTTACTATGCAGGTGCTGTGTGAGCTACTGAGCAGTATGTTAGTGTCAGTGCTGTATACTGGGGAGCGTGTGTGGGGACAAAGGACCTGCAACCCTTGGTGAAGCACTTCCGTCGTCTATGCGGTCATCCATTCGAACTCTCTGTATGGTAGGAGTATCTGAGGACGTTCAGGTGCTTCAGATGTGTTGCTATATCAGAGGGACCTGTGTTCATTTGTTCACTTCTTATGTCATTGAGGTCCATTCCCACGGATCCTTGGCATTTGAAACTAGTGCTCCTCATCTGAGATTGTAATAAATCAGCTAGTGAATGTCTCTATAGGAACCACTTTCTCCTGACACTCTTGACTATTTGACTGGTTTTGACCACGCTTTTTTACTGTACTTACATCCAGTCAGATGTCTGTGGTTGCTGTTGCCAGTTGTGGGCTCCTCTGACTTCTTGGAAACCTCTGTTACTGTTGGGAACTGTGGAGAATCTGGGGGAACCTTTTTGTCACCCAATGACTAAGATTTTTTAGGTTTTATATGCCCTGTACTGAATTCTGAATGCACTGGAATAGTGGATTTGTTTGGCAATTGATGTGGATTCTGGTAATGAATGTGAATTGGGGATTTTTCTTATTTGAATAACCAATTTCCACAGTTAAAAGTTCTACTTAGCTTGTAGATATGTGCTTTTTTCCCCACCTCATACTCTGAACTGGAAGGTGCTTGTGTAGGGTTTTAAACTAATAATTTTTGAATGAATTTAATTTTGGAAAAATAAGTCACGTCTTTAAAAGACCCAGATTTTTCAAAGATTATAATATTATTATAAAAACTAGTTAAAATGAGAGGTGGATAAAGCATTGGGGTTTATTTAATTCTAAAAAGATAAGCAGTAGGGTTTTTAATTGTGTTTCTATGGCTGGTAAATATAAAATATATTTCTGTGTTTTTATCACATATTTATTTTTAAGCCAGTTTGCAGTACACAAAAAAATTTCTTTGTATGCATGGAGCTTTTTCTCATGTGGATCTTTGAGACTGGAATAGTTTCCCTATGGGGAATGATTAGGTAAGCAAGCACTCTTTGCATGTGGACAGTTGTGACTCTGAAGTTGTGAATGGTTTGGGGTGGAGGGGCTGACTGCCTTTTCGAACCAAGACTCAAGGGCCACCCAGTGAGGTTAGCAGGAGACAGGTGCAGAGAACACAAAAAGATCACTGTTGCTGCAGCAGGTGGTAGATTTGTGAAACACTTCGTCAAAAGAGATTGTAGATGCAAAAAGATTATACAGGTCCAAAGACAGACATAGAATCATAGAATCGTTAAGGTTGGAAAAGACCCTTAAGATCATCGAGTCCAACCGTTAACCTAGCACTGCCAAGTCCACCACTAAACCATGTCCTCAAGCACCACGTCTACCCATCTTGAATACCTCTCCCCATCTTTTGAATCCCTCCAGGGATGGAGACTCAACCACTTCCCTGGGCAGCCTGTGCCAGTGCCTGACTACCCTTTTGGTGAAGAAGTTTTTTCTAATATCCAACCTAAACTTCCCCTGGTGCAGCTTGAGGCCATTTCCTCTCGTCCTATGGCTTGTTACTTGGGAGAAGAGACCGACCCCCACAATGGGCAAGTACTTAGAGAGGTGCTCCATGGGAGGAAATCCCGTGGTTTGAAAATAGAAGCTAGGAAATACTCAAGAGAGTGCTATTTACACTTCCCTGGTCTTACTTTTTCCTAAACACCTGCTTGTGGCTGCTGTTGGAGAGGAGAATACTGAGCTAGGCATTCTTTTTGTCTGAGCTGGCAAGGTTATCCATATGTTCACAGTCTTCCAGTTTCCCAAGTGTTTCTACTAAAGGGCCACAGAATCTCTTTTCCAGAATACTTCATGTACTGGAACTGGGAAACTTTATAAGGCTCCAGTTATGAAAGAGTGACAAAACTTCATGTGTGGTGCATAAATGAGCCGCTTGCATGAAGATTTTTGGGTTTCTGGACCTTGGTTTTCCTCCCCTTAACAACATTGCAGTATCACAGTGTTAGTGGGATGCATTTACTGCTTCTCTGAAAACTCATTTTACAACTCAATTTATTCTGAGTACTGTACTTAGACACCCAAGTGATTAGTGTAACGACTATGGTTTGTGTGAAGGAACTCGGCTGTCTCAAGGGTCAGACACACAGTGCCTAACTCAAAGGCACTTTGCTTGGATTCGTTCAACTTTAGGCACTCAACTGACATGTCTAAATTAGCAAGCTGATTTCCCTAGGTTCCTTATTTCGTTAGTGGAGAGGAGATCTTCCAGGGGATGGTTCGAATCTTATATAGGCAGAGTCTTCTGCTGGAACTGCCTAGGTAAGAGAAAAAATGTTTTATTAACCATTAGCAAGTTTGCTGATGATACCAAACTGACAGGTACTGTTGACTCTCTCAAGGGACAGGAGACCTTGCAGAGGGATCTAGATAGATGGGAGCATTGGGCAATCATCAATGGCTTGAAATTTAACAAGAACAAATGCTGACTTCTGCAACTGGGACAGAGTAACACCAGACACAAGTATAAATTGGGAGAGGAGTGGTTGGAGAGCAGCCCTGCAGAAAGGGACCTGGGGGTGCTGGTTGACAGTAGGCGCAATATGAGTCAGCATTGTGCCCTGGCAGCCAAGAGGGCAAACCGCGTCCTGGGGTGCATCAAACACAGCATAACCAGCCGGTCAAA